TAATATTTAAACACGTCCCTCATGGAAACCAGCCTAGAATTGATGGGGCTAGCATGTTTCCTGGTTTTAAATAAAGTTTACCTACCTACCTACCTATCCACCTACCCTGTCCCCGTTGTCATTCGTGCTGATGATTTTTTAACTCGTGTTCACTCGTGTTCATATTTCTTGACACGTGTTCTGACTCGTGTTCACAGGTGTTCATTCGTGTTCACTCGTGTTCTGACTCGTGTGGTGTTTTAGAACAGATCATGGCAAGATTCGAACCTACGCTTTTGCGATGCCGGTGCAATGCTCTTGCCACTGAGAACGTATGGTTGACTCATTTTTCCATCCACTGTTCCTGGCTAGAATTTGAAGTGTGTATAATAGCACTCGAAATTAAGACCCTTTAAACCTTTTGTTCCTTGATGATACAATCGCGTTCTTCCAAAAGCTCCTTTTTAACCGTGTACTTAAGCGTAGACGGCTTGCTAAAAGAGACATTAAAACCTGACACGAGTGGGTCATTTTGGTATGAGTTTCTTTTTCCAACGAGATAGCTGGTTCAGGATACTTAGAACTATCATCGTCGTCCTCATCATCATCTCTGCCTTTCTTTTCCTTCACATCTTCACATCGTTTAAAAGCCTTTTGAATAAGAAACTTTTTCTTATCAACGGCAGTTTCTATTGCTTCTTCTTGGTCAAATCATCATTTGTAATAAACGCATCTTATGTGTGCATTATTTCCTTATGTACCGGATCTTTCTTTTGTTGTCTCATCAAAAAAAGGCGCTCTAAATAGATATTTTCTAATTCTTTCTGGACTCTAGGCATGGCATTAAAGTAAGCTTTCTTTTTAGCAGAGTGCTCAACGAAACCACGGTTTTTAAGGCTTTCTTTCATTTCCTTGAATGCTGTGTTACTTCTATGTTATGCTTCTTCTAGTAACGGTATCCAGGGATCCATTTCTTCTTCACATTCTGAGTCCGTTGTCGTCGAACTTCCAGATTGCTGAGTCGAAGTGGTCGAGACATCATCTTGGAAATCACTTTCTTGACTGTCCAAGTCTGTTTGAGCCATGTTTCTTCCTTGTTCTCGTAGTAGGCAATACTCCCGTTCTTGTCTGCGCTGATTGTAACTGCGGCTGAAATATTTTCCACAAAATTGGCAGCTCATCCCCTTAGCACTAGAAGTTTGTAAATGCCTTGTTATCGAGCAGCAACGCAGTTTTATGACCAGATGTCTGCTCATGTGTAGTTATAAGCATGTGTTCATCTGCTCAACGGTACTTTTTCTTACTCCAGTACATGCACACAAACTAAAATGTTAGCCATCCCTTATGTACTTTCTTCGTTTCCCCCGAGATAGAGGTTCTTGGTTTCAGTGCTTAAATAAACATTAAAGTTTCTCTCCATCTCTTCTTGGCGCTCGAATAAATTTTCCAGACGCTCCTCCATATTGAATTCCTTTGGTTCTTTACTCGATCGAGGTACACATATTCCTTTCTTACTCCACTTTAACCATCTCTTGCGTTCCTCTGTGCCCATGCCGTGTACTTGGTCGACGATTGCTAACCTTCCTAAATTTGTATACTACCACAGGTAAGCACAAGACAGTTTCTACGCGTGCGACCCATATTTAGACGTTTGCTCAACAAATTCCTAATATAATTGGCTCGTTTTTTCGTGGGTCAGGTATTTTATTAGCCTTTTGGGCCCTATATGGCCTTATATGGCACTATTAGGCCCGATGGCCCGATTGCTGCATGACTACGCGTCTAAATCCGGAAAGTCCGGGCTTGTCAACGCAAACTCTTGCTTACGGAAGACAAAGTCAAACCATCTAGACAAGAAAACAGTGTATTGCCCGGACAATATGTTAAATATTTGTAAAATTGTTCTACTTAATTACATTGTTACAAGCGTTAATCCTTGTCTTAGTTTATGCTCCAAGCATCGCGTTGTCCATACAACAACATATATTTCGCTCTAAAAATGCACACATTTTCGCATTCGCCAAATCCCTTATATATATATATATATATATACATATACATATACATATAAAAAAAGACACGTAATTGATCTCATGTGTTCAATATTTTAATAATATAATAACGATATTTGTGACCTTCCACGGGAAAACATACGTTAACGCTATTTCGTTCGTTCGAAATATCGTTCGTTATCCGTTCGTTTGCCGTTCAAACGCTTGAAGCGTTCGTTGAAATGATTTTCGAGATCGTTCATCGTTTGAAATTGCCCGTTCGAACGCTTAGGAAAAAACGTTTGAAAATTGGTCCAAAAGCATTCAACCGTTTGATATACCGTTCGTTTGAAACGTTTGCCGGAATTTCGTTCAATCGCATTGGATTTGGTTCAACATATTAGATTAACATTAAAGCGGCAAAATGAGCAAATTTGAATGGCGCCTATCAACTGTTTATGCGTGCATGAGCGCGGGGGTAAAGATCTTTACCAATAATTTCGCGAAGACTGTCCCAAATATTGCTGGTATTGTATATGAAGAAGTCAAGGCGTTTTAACGCGTGCATATATAAAGGTTAATACCAGGTATGAACACTAAATGAAACAGCTATGATATAAGGAAAGTCATGACTGGGCCACTTTATTAGGCGCGCTTGCAATTATTTTCCTGCAAGCATTGAAATCAGGCTTATCCATGAAATCATCATTTGAATTCGTAAAACGGTTGTCTCGATTTAAACTGAAGTTTTTTTTCCCTTGAGTGTATTTGCTTCGCTAAACTGTAGCTCCTTTTTGACCATGCATATATCGAAATATGACACGCATTCGAAGTAAGATTTCATATAGATGATCATGCAATTGTATAACAAGACGTTCTCAATTGCATTTTATGTATATGTTAACGTGAGTAAAATGTATTCGAATATAAATGCGCACTGCAATATAACCTTTTAGATTGTTTATCATGGCCGGTGGAATCAAGTTGGGCCACGATATCCAATCATTCTGAATAAACATGACATGAAAGGTTGCCAGACCTTGAAATGGCTTGGCTGAGGTTGGAATTTAAGTTGTTAGCTTGGGCCGTGGTGGTTTACAATTTATAGGATGCATTTACTTACATTGAAACAACATTGTTTACAAATTTGCTGACATTTTTCATAAAAAAGGGTAGATGCTACCTCGAAATATATAATTATATGATATAAAAATTTCGCAAGACAAAATGGATTAATGCTTTCATGCATGTCTTAAATAATCTTGATTAGTTAATTTTACTATAATATGTATTATATATTTAATATCAAAAGTATTAATTAGCGATATACTGATTCAGTCAGTATATAACACATGCATATGTGATCGTATGGTCACAAAACATATCACTTATATGAAAAAATATGGCGGCAGAAATGGGACATTGCAGCTTTAGCTTTGCGAAGAAAATATGGCGATGGTGCATGCAGTCGATAAATAGAATATTATCAAATTTTAAAATATTCTTAATGATGCCCTTAGTTGCTACTGACACTACTGTGTATAGGCGACATTCCGCGACAAGCTTGACCGCAGCTAGAGGCTATTGCCGCACGAACATATTGTGTGCACTAGGTAAATAAGCCAATAGCTTAATATTTTAAATATTTTATTACCGCGCAATGCATATCTGAAATTTAAATGTGATTTTCACGTGCATAAATGGTTTGGATATTAATGTAGTAGGTTATTTATACCAATAAGTTTTGACAGCATTCAAGCACACGTTACTTACGCTGGTTCGCATACAAACGAACTTTGCGTATGCGATTTTCTGTATAACTGTTATTAAAGCCCGGCGCACACTGGAGGAAACAGCTGAGCTGAGCGTCACTCGTGGCTGTTAGCTGAGCTGTTTCCTCAGGGTGCGGTGTCGTGTTCTGCGATTTTCGCCACGCGTGCCATGAGCGCAGAATATTCAACATGTTGAATAATTTTGTGCACGAGTGAACATTTCCTCACATGTGCGTGCGTTCTGAGCTATCAGCTCAGCAATCAATGCCAACGCGCATGCGTCTTTTCCATGTTTTACTGAAGTCAAGATGGCGGCAAACAACTCACCAGTTGCTGAAGCAGTGTTGGAAGATAAATTGGCCGATTTTTGGCCCGATTACCCTTGTCTGTACGACGTTCGAAGTCCAGACTTTAAGAACCGGGAGATACGCGATTAAGCGCTTCAAGAACTGGCCGAAAAAACTCGGAACAACATGTAAGATAATTCAGATTTATTAGTGTTATTGTAGAAATAACTCAAATAAGAATACTGCATGAGGGAATTCGTACACTTCTGCCTTCTAGCAAGGATTCCTCTCAGTGCAGCAGGTTTTATATGATTCCTTGACGGTTTAGTAGTTATTGCCTAGAATTTGACATTTTTATTGTTTATCAAAAATTTTAAGTTATCTGTGATTGAATAAACAAATTCAATTATTATTTATTAGGTGAGTGGGTTAAAGCTAAAATCAGAGCTCTGAGCGAGAAACAGCTTTTAGCAAAGCAAAAAAACCCCAGCTAGTGGAAGTGCAAGAAAAAATGTGACCAAGCGCACTCAATGGCTGCTTGAGAAACTCCAGTTTCTCACACCTCTTTGTGGCAACTTGGGCTTCAATTTCAAATATTGATTTGGTAAGCACATACATTGAAGAACTTAAGGCATGGAAACAGTTTGTATATATATATTTATGTACAAAGAGAAAGAAGTGTATAATAACAGTGCAGTTGATAATAGGGTAGTGATAACTCTTACAATATATACATGTTTGCGTAAGCAATATGGCTAAGCAATCATACTGCTTTGCCAAGGACAGATCCATGATTATTAAAATAATCAGTCAAAAGTACCCTTTGAGTTTTGGCATCCTTTGTTGCTTGTGCAGGGTGGTTGGTTGCATATTAGTCAAAACCTGGTCGTTTCTCCTGGTACCTCTGACCTGTATGATCTGCATTCTCAAGGTTGCAGCTGATGCATAACTTGCTTTGTTCTTTTCAACCATTAAATTGTGCAAGCAGCAAGCTGCAAAATTATGTCTTTAACTTTGTCGGGTGTTAGTTTAATGGTAGTTAGGAATACCCTCCACCTATGAGATAAAATGCCAAAGGCATTTTCGACAACTCTTCGTGCTATTGACAATCTGTAATTGAAGATACGCTTCTCTTTCTCCAAATTCCGATAAGGGTATGGCTTCATTATACGATTACTTACAGGAAAGGCATCATCCCCAACAATATGATGTGGTATCATTTTTGATATCCCTTGTAAGGCAACTGCATCTGGAAGATCTAAAGAGTTTGTTCTCAGTGCTTTATTCAATGCAGAATCAGCAAAAACTCCAGCATCACCTGCTCTGCCAGCTGTTCCAACATCAATATAAATAAACTTGTAGTTTGCATCAACCATGGCAAATAAAATTACACTAAAAAGGTGCTTATAGTTAAAGAACTCAGAGCCTGTATCAGCTGGTTGTTGAATAGCAATGTGCTTCCCATCAATAGCTCCCAAACAGCATGGATAATTCCACTTCATGTTAAATTCTGATGCAATTTGTAGCCAATCTTCTTTATTACTTGGAGTCAAGAAAATAAAATATTAGTTTAATTTTTAGGATTCCCGTGCTAGTTGTAGTACTCCATTTTCGGAAATAAGCTTCAAAGAAAATGATGAGGGTGAAGATGATGATTCTCCTGATCAATTATTTCCAAGTAGCCCAACAAATCCAACAGAGGAAAGTGGTGATCAGAGCATTGGAAGATCAACAAGTGAACCACTGAAAAAACGAGCAATGTCCAGAAAGAAACAGCTGAGGAGG